TTAGAAACTGTGCTTAAATTTGTATATTCATCACAATTGAACAGAAACACTGGTATCTTCTTATGATTCTTATAACTAGTGTTTCTGAAAACAGACATTAACATAGGTTTTAATCATTATGCAAGATGACTGTATCCAAGCGAGATTGGAAAGAAATGGTATCTTGAGTGGTCACCTTAAAGAGGATTCTCTATATTTAATTTTACATTTAAAGATTTCTTATCAGCACTTTAAAAGTGTTATTAAACTTTGAGGATATATTTTATTTGAAATTTTTTTAGTTATTGACTGAACTTTTATAACATACAGTAAATAATTTTCTTAAGAACACCTCTATAAGTGACCAGAACAGTTATGAAACTCTAGCATTTAATCTCTTAAACGGCCAGCTTAATAGAAGGGTAAATCACTTCGAATCGCAAATGGTCGCCTTAGAAATGACTTAACTGAATTTAGCTTTCACAGTTAGGTATTTTTATATCCTTTAGTAAACATTTCATTTTTGGATTCCTTTATGTGAAAAAAGTTGAATTATTTCTTTTTCTTTCTTAGGATAGAGTGAATCATTTTGTAGCAAGTGGAAGTGACCAGTAATTGTTTAGGATGGAAGCTTATTCAACATGTTAATAGGTAGATATTTTATCATGGCTGCCGCTAAACTGTCGTGAAATTATCACTTAGGTTTGGTATGGTTTAATTTCTAATGGCAAAGCACACTATATCCTAAGAGGAGGCTATATCCTAAGAGGAGAAATGCCTTCGTTGAGGACTTTCTAGGGAAACTTGCACATATGGACCCTACACATAAGAAAACCACAAAAATGGCCTTGCAGCCAGCCTGTTTACCTCGATCCAAACCCAGGTCTTTATAAAGTCATGCTTTTGCCTGACATTTCTTAATTTTAAGACTATCTTAATTTAGGAGTGCCAGAAATCCATAGCAAATTTACATTTATATTTCTGAGTGAGATGATTTTATTTTGTGGCGACTCTTTGTCCTTGAAATTTTTTAACTAGTAAATTTGAAATGACTATTTGTCACTGCAAATTTTTAATTAAAATAAAAGCTTCATCAAGTTGCCTTAAAACTGCCTTTACAGTAGACAGTTTTTTTCAAGGATAAAAATTTCACCTATTTTACACCGACTTTTATTTTCAATGAATGAAACATTTAAAATACATTTTTTTTTTTTTTTTTTTTTTTGTATTTAAATGGCTGATTGTTTGGAATAAGAAAATGTCACTGTTTTTATGTATGATTTTAAATGTTTTATATGCATATGATTTTGAATGTCAATCATAGCTAAAAATTAATATCCGAGTTCACTTCCTGCATGATTATTTTTCAATTAAAGTGACTGAAACTATTTAGTGTTGCATTAGTTAATAAATTAGAATTTCTCCGACATAATGCCTACACAGCCAGTTTTATTGGAAGTAGAGCTGATACAATTCTGGATATTAAGTCGAATTCACTATCAGAAAAATTAATTTGCATCAAGTCAATTATTGATTTGTGTTTCAAAAATTGGTCCATCATTAGGAGTAAACTGTTCCAACATGTTTTAGAAACTAATATTAACATATGTTCTGTTTTATTTTCAGTTAGTACATATTTTTGTAATAAAGCATTTATTGCAGGGAAAACATTTAAATATCTTAACAATTTTTCATTATAGGAAGGAATTAAAGGAATTCATATATTATCTTAACTTTATTCATTATAGGAAGCAATTCTTGATGTGTTGATATTTTATCCTCATTAGCAACATCATCTTCAACAATCACATTGTCATTATCTTCATTGTCAGTACCACTCTCATTGTCTTAAAGTCGGAATCAAAAGTTTCGATATCCACAGTATTTGGGCTCTTCTTCTTTTTTTTTTTTTTTTTTCTTTTTTTTCTTTTAAATATATAATACATCTATTACTTCTAATTAAATTCCATGAGCATACCACAATTTCTAATTTCCACCAATCAACTTTCCAACTTTTTTCATAACCGTTGTTGCTCCATCAGTTATGGATACAATATCTTCTTTCAGGGATAATCCATGTTTCTCTAATTTAGATTTAACCACTTCCACACATTTTTCGGCTGGCATACTTCCTGAAACATGTGCAAGTTTTATATTCCAAAATTTTCTTTCTGAATGAATATTTATATTTAAATAGAGTCTACTTCTTACACTTGTTCATTCATCAAATGTAAAACTAAATTTTTCACCATTTACTTTTAATTGTATTAACTCGTGTTTCAAAGAATTGCGAACACCATTACTGTAGTTTATAACAGTTCTTTTTATAGTGTTAATCGATGCTGGTATATTTTTAAAACCTCTGGCGGGTATTAATTTTCTTAATTCGGTAGAAGTGCAAAACACTCAAAATGGCAAACCATCTAATGCTGTCAATTTCCTTATAATTTCATCCAAATTATCTTTTTTTTTTTTTTTTTTTTTTTTTTTTTTTCCAAAATAATCTAAAATCCCTGATGGCTTAGGCTTAGAAACTGTGCTTAAATTTGTATATTCATCACAATTAGATTCTTTCCTCTTTAAAAAATTTGCATCATGTTTCATTTTTAAATGTGTATGGAGTCTGTTTTTACTTCCTCCATTCACTTTAATAACTCTTAAACACTTTTTACATTGTGCTCCCATATTCTTTTCATCATATAATTAAACCAAAGCAAAGTATTATCAACAGATTTTTATGTTCTTTAAATTTATTCATTATTATGGGTTTATTAAGTACGAGTATATAATAAATTTGAAAAATATTTTGAACCCTAAAGCATGATTTGCAAATACACATGCACGTATTTTGTTTACGCATGCACATTTAATGTATAACGGACGGTATAAGCTAGGCTAAAATTATCTTTACTGATTCTAAGGCATTTCAGATAATGTTGCAGATTGCGCTGTTCCTTAATCTTCTAATTGGATCTGGCTTATTATTTTTTGCAGACTGTTAGAGCAATTTTATAAAAATTAAGCTTGAACTATCGATTTTGTCAAAAAGAGTTTCCAATTCTGGAGCTGCCAAAGAATCTACAAAGCGAAAGCATGTTTCAATGTCCATCAAACAAAAAGTGGAATTGCTGCAAAAAATGGATAAAGGCATATCCGTCTCAAAATTATGCGAGGTGTATGACATTGGAAAGTCAACTGTATATGACATAAGCAAAAAGAAAATGGAACTTTTTGAATTTTTTGTGGAAGCATCTTAAACAGCTTACACTGAAAGAAATACTAATTCAGAAGTCAAACAACAAGAATCAGCGTTATATTTTCAAAATTTTCACAGGACTAGTTTTGATGGTTTTACCGAACCACCATCCTCAGCTGCAAAACCGCAAGATTCTTGTTGTTTGACTTCTGAATTAGTATTGGTTCGGCGTGTTATTTTTTTTTAAAGAAATGTTCAATAAAGTAAACAAATAAATATTAAGCCTTTTTTTTTTTCTTTTTTTTTGTAAATTTGGATACATCAAATTGCTCTTTATCATCTTCAAAGAGCATCATAATTGCTCTTTATTTCATATATTACGGTTTCATATTTTTAATTGTATAATTTTTGCATGCCATCTTACCAGATTTAAATTGACGACCTATAATCTGGAAAAATACCTAATCCGGAATCGCCCAAGTCCCAGCACGTCTGGATTATGGACTTTGTACTGTAGTTGTATATGCTCGTAACATACTTTTTTTTGGAGTATTGGAATGCTCAATACAACATGTTTAATTTTAATGTAAAGTGATGTGATGTGTATTTGAGGAGAAGTATATAATTCTTATTCGTTTTACATATCATCCTTATTAATTGTAGTACTCCTTATTATACTCTACATTGCCCTTATTCATTTTAGTAATATTCATGAATTTGCGCTGATTCCATGACACAAATATTTTAATGCATGTAATATTTTAGTGATTATTTAACCCTGAAAATATATAACTCTATTGAAATTGAAAAATAGGTGCAGAACAATATGTTTATTGTTACTGAAAGTTGAGACCTATTTGCTCATTTCCCTTTGTCTCTAAGAAAGCCACATTAAATCCTTAACTAAAATATATATAATTTCAGTTAAATCCTTCTCATTGCTCATACCTAAACAATAAAGTCTTCATATGATATTTTCAAAACAATTAAAGCAGCATATAAGGCTGAAAAAAGGTTTAATGCTGCATTATGCAGGATGAATCAGCCTTCTAAATAGTAAAAAGTTAAAAACTACAAAATATGGACTAGCTATTACCATACACATTTTTCCTTGGATAGCTTAGCATGCAACAATGACTTTTATTCTGTAGATACAAATATTACATTAAAAGACTTTAAAATTCAGCTCAACTTATACATCACTATCAGTTAGAGGAAATTGTGATCTTGAGCACAGATCTGGAGAGCCATCATCTATCTAGAATTGGTTAACCATTTCCTGATAGCTAAACTGGTGTAAGCATGTACATGAAGTCAAGGCCTTCAGTTCTAGCTGTCACATGTTAATCAAATGTTAGAATAAAAATTATGCACAAAGTTTAACAATTTCTTTCTGCATTCAGAATTATAGCTGACATGATAAATAATCAACGTAGCTTCTGATTTAATTAGCGCTCAAAATTGCTCTTAATATTTGATAATACTTTCCTTTCGGATACATATGAATACATAGGCTGAAATCTACTCAAGTGCCTCTTACTGTAGGTGTGAAATTATTTCTGTTTTGAGGATTATCAAATATGCATCATCATAAACTTATTATGTAAATTAAATTCTATGTTGCATTACAGCAGTCACCTGGAAGATGCTAAGCCACACAAAATAGATGCATAAAAAATTAAACAAATTTTAACAGTAAATATCTAGCAAACTTTTAGATAAGACACATAGATAAAACTTAAAGGCTACAGTAATGATATTCAGTAATGATTGCAGTCACTCACCAAACTTCGTAAATTTCAAAATTTAAGCAAAAGTAATTTACCTTCCTCTCTATTAGACACTGCAGAACAGAAAATGTATTTTCTCCAGCTGGAGCATGTTCTAAGATATTCCTGTAAAAGGAACAACATTTTTACTATATATATAAAGTATAAATACAAAGTAAAAAGCAGAAGATTCTTATCCATTCGTGCACTGACAGCTGTAACAAATGGTGGTAATCATGTAAAGTAAAAATAAAATATTTAAATCCATCCCCATATTCAATTCAAAGCAAACCATTCAAATTAAAATCAAGAAGGACAGTGACTAATTGCATTTAAATGTGCAAAAGAAGTGTAAATTAAAAATGAAAACAGTAAAAGATGACATTATTTACATCCTTTGTAACATCATTGTCAGGGGTCTTCTTTTGTTGTACATCTGAATATAAGTATTTTATTTTTACTTCATACACACACCATTTCCATTAGGAAATTTAAAACTGCAGATCATTCTTAAAGAATCTGATAACATGACTTACAGTTTCATTGACTTTAACAAACTGTTTGAATGTTTTTCAACTTTGTGTATTTATAAGATAATTCCTGATTCAAATTTGAATTGATGATTTTAATGAAATTAATTGGTTACAAGAAAATATGGAAAGCTTAGTTATTAGCCAAAAATGAGAAATGCTTTTGTGGAAGATTTTTCAGGAAAAATTAAAAATTATATATGGTGAAAACATAAAAAAATTCATGTCGTTAGACTATTCCCAAACTAAATCAAAATCAAATAAGAAGAAAAGAGAAACTGTATTTTTTACTCATAAGTTGCAGACTATGAAATTGTCTACGATCACGGAATATAAAAAATGGTTAGGAAAAAAAAGTCTTTGCATAAATAATTGGTTCACTGTCTAAGAAAACACATTCCTGAGAGCAATAAGCCGATATTGCCAGTTTACACACACACACACACCATCACAAATGCATGCACGCACACATGTTGATTGTCAAAAATTTTGTATATAAGTAAATTATTTTAGTAGAATTGTATGTATCAAATTGTATTGTCTTCTGTATAATGCTACTTGAAATATCTGAAAAAGCAGAGCTGTGTCGGAAAAATAAAATTATAAAGGCAAGTCTATTTAACATAGAGGTATATGACTATCTCGCTAAATTGGCGAGATATCGCCAAGCTAGCGATGGTTTTGGCAGAAAATCACCAAAACCCGCCAGACATGGGGACATTTTGATCTAGACCCTGTATAACTAACTATATATAGCCCTTATATGTAACTTTAACTGTAAACAGCCTCCACTAATTTTGAGAAATGGAAGGTACTAGGTTTCTCAGCAGCAATGAGAAAACTATATACCTGTAAGCCTGGAAAGAGCATCAGTTCTCAGTTTTTAGTTCACAGCTGATGTTTCTTTCTAGAAAAACATTTTTGTCAAGCTATTACCAGTACGATGTGCATCCAATCTATTACAAACTTGTACACATGCAACAATTTTTGGTGTCAGAAGTGGGATTGAATGTTGGTCACAAGACTGGCAAAGGGGCACCTAAGACTGCTAGTGACAGCCTCTGCTGCATTCGAAGAACAAATGGAAGGGCAGTCAACTTCATTAAAAAAGATATGAAATCAATTCAAGTAAAGTTGGAAGAAGACATCAAATCAATGCAAGAAAAGATGGAAGGGGCTGAAGCAGGTCAAGATGAAGTAGAAAGAGAAATTACTGCTATAATAGAAAACAAATTCAAGACTATGGAAGGCAGAATAGGCATAGCATAAAGTTGGAAAAATTCAAGAAAGTTTCTACTGTCCAACAACAAATTGAAGAAAGAGTTTCTACTGTAAAACAACAAAGTGATAACAGAATTTCTGCTACTATCATCAGTTGAGAGCTTAAAGAAATCTATTGTGACAAATGGATATAATTCTAACACTCTAAATTGCTAACCATTTCTCCTCATCTCTCAGTAAAGCCATCCGCATATGATTGAAATACCTCCTGGCAAGCGTACACGACTCAGTTTCCTATAGTAGCAGATACAAATGGGTGGAATGCACAAGCTAAAGCCTACCACCTTGCCATTTCTCTGAGAGCAGATGCAGTAGATATCCTTCAAAATATGCCTGATACCCAGAGTTTGAAGCTCTAGTAGGTGCTGCATTTTGAAGAGAAGAGTGTAAAAGAATATAGCAGGCTTCAGTTAAATTTTCATTAACAGAACCTCAAAGAAACATTTCAGCAGCTCACTATGGATAATGAAAGGCCATCTCATCATGATTTTTTTTATTTTCCATAAGAACCAAGGCAAATCCTGTCCCCTCAGTTCCTCATTGATAACATCTGGGATTCTGAGATACAGAAAGCCCTGTGAATGGTGGATGTCAGGGATTTAAAAAGCAGTTTAGTATACCCCTGGAAACTTAAGGCAGCTCAGAAAGCAACTCCTACAAATCACCAAACTAACCACGGCTGCTCAAGTTCAGGAGCCAGTGGATCAATTGCCTACTTGTCTAGATAATAACCAAACAAGTTAATGCCTTGATATGGAACAGGAGCAGCAACAAACCAGGCCTAAAAGTGCTGAAACTGCGATGGTGAAGGCCACTTACAAAAGAACTGCAGAACACCCCAAGCCACCGAAAATAACTCCGCTTCCCATCAAGAAGACAGGAAGCAAACTAGTGGCCATTCAAAACGGTTTCTTGCATTGGAAGTTTGAATTGGATGATGGAAAGGTATACTGATGGCAGCTAGTACTTCAAAGATCCTGGATCGGATGTCCTTAAAGAACTACATAGCAGACCAATTGGATGCCACTTCAGAATAATGAAGACTAAGAAGCACAGAATGCAAAGACAGACATGCAAAAGTAGTGCCAATCTTGCAATGCATGTGTGGGCTGGAAAGGACTAAAGAAATGCAGTTGAGGAAAGCTGCAACATTACAATGTAGGAATGCCTTTTGAATGCATTGCTTTTGACATCCTGGGAGCTTCACCATGAACAGCTGATGGCAACTAATACATCCTCATTGAAACTGATTACTTTACAAAATGGCTTGAAGCCTATCCTATCCCTGATCAAGAGGCTGTCATAGCAGCGGAAGTAGTGATACAAATTGGATTTTCAGTTTCGGAGAGCTCTTCAGTTACATTCCGTTAGAGGAACAATTTTTACCTCTGCTGTATTAAAGACCTCTGCAAGCTACCTGGCATTGACAAAACCCAAACAACACCTTTACATCCCAGTCAGATAGCATGGTGGAGAGGTTTAATTGAACCATCATTAATGGACATGAAGTTATCTCTGTTTTTACTGGCTTATTGAAACAGTGTACTGGTTATTCCCCATCTCAGATGGTTTTTGGTCATGACCATCTTCTGCCTTGTGATCTCTTGTTCGTTGCCCTCCGGATGTGCCTTCATCACCTGAAGAGTGCATTCAAGACCTCCAGGCACAGTTTGAAGTAATACACAGTTTTGCATGAGAGTAAGTCAGTTTGGCAACAGGGAAGAACTGATAGAACACAAAAACTACAGGTCTTTGATTCAGCGACTTGAACAGACGCAAAGATCTTTGTCTTAAACTACAGTTATCCTAGGATGGTCATTACACAGTCCTAAACAGGCTAAATGACGAGGTAGTTTGGATTTGTAAGTCATCAATTTCTAAGCTAAAAATCGTTTATTATGATTTTATTTACTTACTATTGCTATAGTATGCAGTTCCATAGTGTATATGCAGTAAATAGTATACTAAGACCATGGTCTTTTGTGTACATAAATTTGTAAACTCATGCATTTATTTACTGATTTAGCATTTGATTTGTTGTGTGTTATTTATTTAAGTTATTATTTTAAATACTGCATCGATTTTCCTTAGTTGTAAGTATGGCTTCCTATCCAGGGATTGTACTACTTGGGATGTGCAATCCTTGGAGCAATGGGATGTATGAGTGGGAAGAGGGCAATGTTATGAATTGTGTATGCATGTAAATGATTTTAGTGAAACTGTATCTTTTGTATAATGCAATATGAAATGCCTGAAAAGTGAAGCTCTGCCAGAAAAATAACCTTGCAAGGGCCCGTCTAACACTGAAGTAAATGGCTATCTTGCTAAATTGGTGAGATATCGCGAAGTTGGCAATGGTTTTGGTAACTAACGTGTCAAAAGTCGCTAAACTTGGCGACATTTCGGTCCTATCCTTGTATAACTGTAATTGGATAATTGTAATTGATCCCTATATGTAACTGTATCTGGTCTTTAAATGTCTAACTTTACAAGTCTTTCACTAATTTCAAGAAATGGATGGTATTAGAGATTTCTCGACTGCCAAGAGAAAACTATATAAACCCGTTGAGAGCTTCCGTTTTTACTTCCTAGCTGAATTTTGAGTACTGCCAGATCTCTGAGTGAGCTTCGTGCTTTATGTTGTGTTATGTTTAACATTCTCAGTAGTTTAAAGTGATAACTACTGATTGTGCTTTGTAATACTGAGAAGAGCTGTATGACAATTTTATCAGCAATTCCAGAACTGTAAAGTGTTTCTTTTGAGGAAGTAAGTTTTATCAAGTTATTATCGATTCCATGCGCATTTAATCCATTATGAACTCGTACACATGCAACAATATATATGAATGCACAACCATTAAAATTCCAATATTGAAAAGCACTTTTTCTTTTTGGCTGAGTCTACATTGTCTAAACTTGACAACACATTTTGACAATGAACACAGGGTTCATAGCCACATTTTAGTTAAAAAAATAAGCACCTATAAGCACTTTTCAAGCACATTTTAAGAAAAAAAATAAGCACCTGTCTAATTACATCATACACAACTGCATAACCTTAAAAATTAGACTTGTAATTTAAAATATGAGAAATGAAGTACTTTTTAAGAGACAACAAGCATTACCTCAACCATAAAAAATAATTACTTTTTTTTTGTTTTTAGTTTTAAAGAATAGTTCAATTTACAGAACTTGTTTACAATGAAAGGAAAAAAAACTATGAAGAACTATATTACAAGATTTAATGATGAAATTTCAGTTCAAAATAGAGAAAATAAATAATAATAAGGTATATTTATTGTATTCGCTTGGAAC